GGGAGGACTGTGTGTAAGGACTGAGTGGACTTCCCACCTTAGACAGAGGAGGAGCAACAGATAGCTGCTCATGCTGTCAGTCCTGGGAGGCTCTGGGCAAGGTTGACGTGCAGAAGCTCCTGCTCTCTTCTCTTCCTCTTTGGGAGTTTCAGGAAAATGGGAACTTTGGCCTGAGGGAGATGACTTCAGGTCAGCAGAGAGAGATGGTTCAGGCCCTGTCTGGAGCAAGTATGAAAACCTCGAATAAGACTCAGGGTATTTACCAACCTAGAACACCGAGGGGACCACAGAATAGAGGTAACAAGATGTGATGTCTTCTGGCTTCCATCTTGGTTCCTGATCTCTATCTTAGGAGTCCGAGGGAAGCACAGCTTCATTTCAGGGGGCCTGAGTTAGGTCAACAAAGGGAGGAGTCCTGGGCCTTGCAAGGCTTTAAGGTAAGGATTCTGAGGAAGGTGTGAGGGGACCTCTCACCATATAGAGGGTAACACAGTCCTGCCTTGCTCCTGCAGTCTTGGAGGCCCCAGGGAGGGTCCCTGAATAAATTTCATGTCTTCCACTTTGGGAGTCTGAGAGACATGAGGCATTCTCTGAACGGTGACTCTTTGGGTTAAGTACAGTGAGGAGTTGCAGGACTTGCCAGGTAGCTTTGTGAAGACCTAAAGGAAGGACAGAAGAGACCTCTCAGCATAGTCAGAGGGACCTCACAGAAACTCACTCTAGTGTCATCTCTGAGAAGCCCTGTGCGGAGGCCACCTCCTCCATATCTCTGACACCCATTTCTTGTGAAAGCAGGGACATAGCAGGCCTGGGAGCCCCTCTATTTTGGGTAGGAAGTCCCCTACATCCTCCTTCATAGAACTCACCTTGACAAAGGAGATGAGTGTCTTAGCCTGAGGTATACTTCTTCACAGCAGAGGGAGGGAATGCAGACCTTGTTGGGTATAAATATGATGACCTTAAGGATGTCTAATGGGATTTTTCACCCCAGATAGAGTGCCCACAGACACCTTGCCCTGCAGCTGCTGTCAGCCATGCATGGACCTATGGTGGCCAGATGTGGTGTTCTCTCACTTCTATCACAGTGATGGGTGGTATCTCAGAGAGGTGAGACCTTGGTCTGAGGGGGCTACACTAAGTTAGTAGACAGTGGGGCAGCTAAGGCCCTGCTGGGTTTAAATATCAGTATCTTGAGGGAGGACAGAGGGCACTGCCTACTGTAGAACAAACGAAGGTGCCACAGAATCCAGCCCTGACCCTGATATCAGCCCTGGTAGGCCCTGGGACATGGTGGCCATAAGTGACATCCCCTGATTACCTCTAGGGGATCCAAGAGAGGTGAGGGCTTTGGTCTGAGGGAGTAAAGTCAGGTCAGTAGAGGGAGGAGGCCCAAGCTCAACCAGGAGTCAAGGTATGGACTCTGAGTGAGGACTGATGGAACTAACACCAAGGACTAATGGGGCCTCAGCCCCACCCTGCCAGTGCTGACAGCTCTCAGAGGCCCTGAGGCAAGGTATATGCATGTGGTAGACTCTCACTGCTGCCTGATTAGCTCAAGGAAGTGAGTACTTTGGTCTGAGGAGGCAGGACTCCAGTGCGGGGGGGGGGGGCAGACACAAGGACGATGACGGACGGACGGACGACAGGGACACCACGACGACGACGACGGAGGACCCAAGCAGCGCCAGGATTCAAGATGAGGACTCTGAGAGAGGACTCAGGGGAACCCTAACACAGACAGAGCCGTGCCTAGCACTGCTGTGCCCCCAGCTGTCAGCCCTTAGATGCCCCAGGAAAGAGTGTCAGGCAGACCCACCCACTTTCCTCTTCCTGCATCACATGGAGAAGGAAGTCTTGGCCTGAGGGATTTGTCATTAGCTCTGTGGAAGCAAGAGCTCAGGCCCTGACAGGCGTAAATACATATACCTTGAGAGAGACTAAAGGCACTTGCCATCCTAGAACACTCGGAGCTCCACAGAATCTAGCCCCAACCTGCTCTCAGCCTGGGAAGTTGAGGCAGGGTTAGCTGTGTGTAATGGGGGTAAGTTTTCCAGTCTTCCATCTGGAGGGGGTCAGGGACCTCCCACCCCACACAGAGGGAGACCCAGACCTACTCTATCCCTGCTTTCAGCCTTGTGAGGCCCCAGGCAGGGAAGCCAGATGTGGTGTATCCAGACTTCTATCTCGGGAGTCTGAGGGCGGTGAGGCTCTCTCTGAGGGTTGTGGCCTCAGGTTAGTAGAGGGAAGAATAACACACTCAACCAGGCATCAAGAAGAGGACCCTGAAGAAGGACAGAGGGGATCATTCACCTCAGACAGAGGAGACTCTCAGAAACCCATCCCTGCTTTCAGCTCTGGGAGGCCCCAGGAAGGGCCTTCAGGCAGGGAATCCTGCTTCTTCACACCCTCTTTGGAGCCTCAGGGAAATGGGAATGTTGGCTTGAGAGTACCTCCCATCCTAGAACACAGGAGGCTCTGGTTGCTGTCTGCATCCTGAGGTGACCCCTCGATTCCTCTTACAGGGGCTCCAGGAACCGAGTGCTGAGGGCCTTGATCTCAAGCATGTGGCCTCAGGTCGGCAAAGCAGACAAGGCCCAAGCAGTTCTAGGAGTCAAGGTGTGGATGCTAAATGTCTACTAAGGGATCTACCCATGCCAGAACAGAGGGGATTCCACAGTGACTGACCCTACCTGCCTGCAGTTAGCCCAGGAATCCTAGGCTTACTTAGCTGGTTACAACCTGGGGAGCTTTCTCACATCCTCCTACAGGTTCCTAGGGGACAAACTGTCCAGGAA